AATAAGGTTTTGCGGCCCATTATACTGCAGCTCACTCGGACACCTGCTCGGCGAGACGAACCGACCTTTATCAAAGTAGTGGGACCTTGTATGCTAAGGTCGATTGTGGCGGTGGTGCAGTCGTACGAAGATCCGCGCAGCCAAGCGCAGCCGCGCGACCAAGCAGCCCAGCGCAGCCGAGCAGACGAGCAAGCTCGCGGCTTCGCTCGATGCTCGATCGCTCGACGCTTGGCGTCGCTCGGCATCGCTCGGCATCGCTCGGCGTCACTCGGCGTCGCTCGGCGCACTCGGCGTCGCTCGGCGTCGCTCGGCGCCACAATCGAGCTTAGCATGCGAATCGATGAGCGACTGATGCAACAAGAAGGTAAGATCCTCGACACATCGTTGCTAAGTAAGAGTTCGGTGTGAAGGATGCACTGGGCCCGAATCAGAGCCGAATGCCTGAACCTATAACCCGACGAGCAAATGTGGGAAACAACCCATCGTTGCGAGACTGCTGCATGCTGCCGCAGCTTCCCAGAAACCAGCAGATCTGCTACGGACTCGAAAAGTTACGACCGAAACGCTGCCACCCTGAGTATGCAAACTCCACATCCGTTACACACTGCCTGAACGGTCCAACGAAAAGCGCGGTGCTGGAGCCACGGAAGCACCTGCTTCGCCGGGCTTGTCTTGGTTTGGTTCATCCTCCGCTAATCCCACACGTACACACAGCGAATGCCCTAAACCCTAAACCCTAAACCCTAAACCCTAACCCGAACCAAAACCCAAGCGCAACCCCACGGCGGACCGCGGGCGGGCGGTGCATGCTGATGGAGATGAAGGCTCCACCAACCGAGGTGACTCGATAGGCCTCCTGCTTGCAGTAAGCAGTACGGCCCAAAGGGCATCTGTTGCACGTGCAACAGAAACGAGCTTACATCAGGAAATCTGATTTTAATATCTAGCTTTACCAAAAGAAAGCCAAATCCCTCCTTCACGAACTCGGCGATGGCCAGCGCATGCTGATCGTTGCAGAAGAAAGCATCCAATGTACTCTTGTCCACCACCAAGGGGAATGATTCCTGCAAGGGTGACGAGCTTTGAGTTGGAGGACCGTTTCAAGGAATCGATGAGTCCAGGGCCTAGCCTTCATCGAGACACAAGCTGTAACTTGATGCAGGTTCAAGGAAAAGCAGCTCGCTGCAGGTATGACAGCTATGACATATGCCCTCACTCTAGGAAGTTAAGGAATGTAAAGGCTTCTAAATGACGAGAAGCTCTGTGCAGCCAGAGCTCACTTGGAATGTCCACCATGTCGCGGCAGTCAGCGGCCTGCCACTGAATTTCAGGCCGACTGGCCCGGTTTCTCCTTGGCACACAATGAGAATTCCACGACCCGATTCAAGAAAGTTGGAAAAAAGGGGGCCGAACTTGCAGTTGCTGCCGGTACTGCTTCTCACCGGCGACAGACACGGCGCCGGCGACATCGACGACGGACGTATAGCACGACGTCTTGCAACTGTCACCGTCGCTACCGTCAGCTTAACGGAGCAGCAACAACAGCAGGAGCGGTGACAGTAGCAGCAGCGGCAGCCGCAACAAGAGAGACCGCCGCCGCCGCAGCAGCAGGAGGTGTGCATGCATCACTAATCAGCGCCTGTTGCTGTGCTTGTTGTTGTCCCTCCTACTGCGCTCGCTTCTTGGTTCGCGCACAACTCCAAAACAAATCTAACCCTAACCCTCCAGGTACCTACTATATAGAGCCCTAGCGGCTCTAGTACCCGATATAGTAGGTACCTGGGGGGTTATGGTAAGACAAGCCTCTCCGACATCTGCCTCATGGCTACCTCGGAGATGTCCACGGCAGTTTGATGGAAGTATCCTGCCTGGCGTCGGGGCAGATACATGCCAGCGTCCCAGAAACAACCGACTAACTGGCAGATGCAAACCCTAGACCCTAAACCCTCATCACCTTCCGACCTTCCGGCCCCGGAGCCCCGAAAACCCATCAAAAACCCTATCTTGGCCAGCCGACGTCATACATATCCTCCGGAAGGGGCGAGTTTCCAGTGCCCAGATGCCTTGCTTCGCACTGACTTTCGGGGCTTTGCAACGATCGGCTGAGGTTAGACGTTGCTTTGAGGTTCGTCGGGCGTGCAAGTGTGGGTGCCTAGAAGCATTGGGGTTCCTTCGGATACCGCCGCTTGCTAGAATCGTTCAAGACTTCAGCGATGTTTCACAGCGTCGTTCCTGGAGATAGACATAGCAAATCCCAAGCAGTATACTACAGGAAAAGACCTCCCTCACCGGCAAACCCGACATGCTGCTGCGGGCTTCTTCAGACCCAATGAAACCCCAACTTCAAGCCAAAAAAAACAAAGTTTATAACACCCAAACCCGAAGCCCTAAAAACCCTGAAGCTCTTCAAACCAAATCCTGAAACCTGAAACCCTGAAGCTCTCCAAACCATATCCTGAAAACCCTGAACCCCAAAATCCTGTCGGAAGCACAACAAAACCTCATCGCCAAGGCACAAAACCGCCCGCTGGCTGTCAAAGCCCATTAGCGGCTCTAACAGCCACCTGGCAATAGTGTAATAATAACAATAATAACAACAATACGAATAAGAGTAATAGTAATACTGATCATACTAAGCAAAAGAATAATAGCAATTAATAATGAACTAACAAGATGAATACCGAGAGCAATAACAATACAAAAAGGAATAACACTAATAGATTTAGGGGTGGACTCGACGACGAGAAAGATGGCGGTTTCTGTTGTTGATGATGCTTAATTATGTGATGATAGGGATGATAGGTTGTGTTGCTGGTAATCGCGATAATGATGAGGATGAGGGCGCTGATGATGATGATGATGATGATGATGATGATGATGATGGTGCGGTTTGGGTCTAAGTTGAGGTGCACGGTTCAGCAGGTCAAGCCCCAAATTGCTATGCCGCGGCACCGAAGCTCTGTCCAGCCGACCAGCCAATCCTCAGCCACGGTGATTGGAAGCTACAGGGTATACGGCTGCACAGGTTTCGGAGTAGTTCCGACCAGTTCCGAATCCCGACTGAAATCCCCAACCCTACACCCTATATAAGACCTCAACCCTTAAACCCCAAGAGCCTGAATCCTAAACACTAAGACATAGAACCAACAGAATCCTGTTTTCGGACTCCCACGGCATGGCGAGGGGGCCAAGGAGTATCGACTCTCCGCGCTCGACCGGAAATCGCCGCAACTTCACCCCAGGTTTAGGGCTTCGGGTTTTCGGGGCCTAAGACCTACCCATGGGCCCTAAAGTGGTTCCTTTCTGGGGTTCATCTATAGAATCCTATAAGGTAACCCCNNGGAACTACTATGGGGGCTATGGGTAATCCTAAAGATGTCTTAAACTCCCAACAACAAAGCCGTCGAAAGTCCGCAAGTGCCCAAGACCGACACCCAGGCGCATAAACGTCCTCACCTTCCTCCGCTGCCTTCTCGTAGTGGGTCTCCCAGTAGTGGCCTTCGCCGAACCTTGGGTTCTAGGGTATATAGGAACATAATTATAATGAGGAGCCCCCAGAATAGTCTAGGTAATTTATTTAAGCCCCTTTTTTTACTTTTTGGGGGGTCTCAGCCTCGCTGGCTTGAGTGTCCACGATCATGACAGGAGCAAGGTCTTTACATCCTTCTGCAAGCAGGTTAGGGTTTAGGGTTTAGG